ATTATTGTTTCTGATTTTTCCTGCTGGCCTTTATTCACAAAGTATCTTCTGTTCTTCTAGTCACTCCAAGCTGGTCTACTCGATCTTTCCAGTGGAAATTTCCCACCTCAGACAATTCTGGATGGGGTTCTGGTTTCCACCTATGGTCTTATGCAATGCAAAAGCTCCACAGGAGGCCTCTTTCACTGGGTAACTTCTAGCCCCCTTTAAGGTATTCCAATCAGTTAAAGGCTGAAGACAGAATTACAAGCTTTCTATTGTGATGTTTCTGGCTATTTCTCCCCTTATCTCCTCCTCAAGTCTATTTCACAATGGTAGGCAAGGGAAACAGGATTCAAAAGACAGCCAAGCATCTTAACATTATTCCTCTCTTTACCCATTCAAACCATGCCTCAATCCCTGTATCCCAAAGCCCTGTTGTTCCAAATTTGTGCATACATCATCATTTACCTCTGTCCCACTTAGCCCATGCGAACCTGCTTAACAGTTCTTCCATCCACCTTGTTCCTCCATTCCCCTCCCCCTTCTTGTGTATTGCCCACTCTACCCCCCAGCACCCAAGCTATCCTGTGTCTATTCCCTACCCTGTGCTCTACCTTCCCCTCCCTCCCTTCCCACCTTTAATCCCATACATCATGGCGATCAGCAATTAAAGATATAATTTCCCCCCTTTTAGGGTGGGTTCTGTTTCTTAGTCTTTTGCAATAATGGTCCTATGAAGTATTTCTCCTTTTGTGACTGACTAATTTCACTCAACATAATGTCCTCAAGGTTCATCCATGTTATGCGGTGGCTTGCAGCTTCCTTCAAGGTAGCATAGTATTCCATTGCGTGTATGTACCACAGTTGTTTACCCATTCTTCAATTGTCGGGCATTTTGGCTGTCTCCATCTTTTTGCTCTTGTAAATAGTGCTGCTATGAACATTGGTGTGCATATATCTACTCGTGTTATGGCTCATAGTTCTAATGGGTAAATACCAAGTAGAGGAATTGCTGGATCATAAGGTATTTCTATTTTCAACCTTCTGAGGAAGTGCCATAGTGCTTTCCAGAGTGGTTAGACTATTTTGCAATCCCACCAACAATGTAGGAGGGTCCCAGTCTCTCCGCATCCTCACCAGCATTTATTGTCCTCTACTTTTTTTATCTTGTTGTTATTGTTGGTGTGAGATGATATCTCATTGTTGTTTTGATTTACATCTCTCTGATGGCTGGTGATCATGTACGTTTCTTCATATGTTTGTTGGCTGCCCGGATCTCCTCCTTGGTGAAGTGTCTGTTCATGTCCTGTGCCCATTTTTTAATTGAGTTATTTGTCTTTTTCTTGTAGAGGTGTTGTAGTTTCCTATATATTTTAGAAATGAGTCTCTTATCTGAT